CCTTTGTACTGTTTTTAGCATACTAATAGAATAATCTAGTTTAAAGTGTCTCTGCTCACACCAAGATTAGGGTTTGAGGAGTGACGTACATACCTTGTCCGCGTGATTGAAGGTTGCAGCTACTGATGGTTTTGGGAGTCAGTAGAGGGCAAAGATATGGATGCAGGTCGTGCAGTATAGAGTAAAACTGTTCCATTTTGTGGTTGTATAAGGAGGATTAACCAACTTTGTAAAACAAACTGCAATGATGTGTGCGGAAACATGAATCAGAGACAAATTGTAACGCAGAATGATATTTTGCATGCGTGTATAAAATATCACCAAAATCAATTGCTGATAATTGCAAAAGAAAAGCAGCATTTGTTTCTCTGGAAACCGAACTTCACCCTGTGCTTCTCAATCACCTTCATTTTTAAAGCAACATGCAAATTAGAAGCAGTAGCAGCCAACAGCAATTCAGTATGAACTGACCAGAGACTAAATGTTGAGGCAATCAGTATCCAGTGTTGATTTCACTGTGCCTCCAGTCATCATGAAGATGGAGAAATGTGTATATCTGCATGGCTAATGAAACCCCAGGGATTTCAGGGTTTAGGCTTCATGAAGTATTTATGGTATGCTCATTAATTATTGATTAAGCCGTTAGAGAGCATTTAGACACCCAGACAATCATTATGAAAGACTAGATCTTGGCTTGAGGAAGAGGAAGAGGAAGATGGAGGAAGGCAGAAATGCGAAGAGGGAAAGAGGTTGCGGTGAGGGATGAATGGAAATGAGGACTAAAGATGATGTGAAGAGGGAAATGAAAGATATGGAAGAGGGAAAAGAGCAAGGAGACAAGAGGGAAAGGAAAAGAAGGAGGGGAAATGCTGCTCTTTAAATATTAATTAAGCATTCAGACAGCAAGGCTAGCATTATAGGAGATTAGTTTTTAAGAGGAAGGGTGAATAGTAAGAAAGGGGGGAAAGGACAAGAGGAGGAGGGTGAGCATGAGAAAGGAGGAAGTTAAGGACGGTGGCTGAAGGAGGGCAAATGAGAAGGAAGAATACATGGATTAAAGGAGGAAATGAGCAGGATTGCGCAAAGACAAGCTTGAAAGGTAAGAGGAAGGAGTCAACATGTAATGAATAGAAAGTCTCATTTCCCTAATCACATACTGCCTCTTCATGGAAGTGCTCTTTCAAGTTGTTTTCAAAGCATTTCCCGGGCCTATGTCTTCCCTTAATTTTTTCCATCCATCCGTATTCAAATACCCGCTCATTCCTGTTCAGGGTTGTGGGATACTGTGATGTGTCATTTGTTTCTGTTGTGAAGTGTTGCTATTTGAGATGCAAGCGGGATTGCAAAGGAGTGTGACATTCATGTACCGCCTCATCTCATATCCATCCGTCTAGTGTACGGACCCAGCCGCTGTTTTGCACAGGTATTTAACCGTTGCTTTGCCCTCTCTTTACCCTCTAGCTCTTCAGCGGGTGCTGTTGCATTGCAGGGTAACCAGGATGGTGGCATGATAAGAGGTGCGGACCTGCTATAATGATGCAGCAATGAGGTGTAATGGGCCTGAAAACACAGGCTGACTGGCTGGCAGGCAAGCCACACAGTCAGGGAGAGGCACAGTTGGTGTGAAGCTGTTTCCAGCTCATGACAGATGTTACAGTGAGAGAGAGAGAGAGAGAGAGAGAGAGAGAGAGAGAGAGAGACAAAGAGACGGAGGGAGAAGGGGGACAGAGAGAGAGAGAGAGAGAGAGAGAGAGAGAGAGCAGTGAGTCATTTGCTACATGCAGAGTGAGAGATCCCTGAGAAGTAACTTTATGCAAACGGCAACTTTGTGCAAAGTCAAACAGAGTTCATTCACATGTGGGTGCTCCAAAGCACTTTAGTTCGTGTCCCAGAAGTACTTGGTGTAGTGAAGTACATTGTGATTTCAATGAGCCCACCCCTGTTGATTTTGTACCCATCTCACCCTTGATATCCCTGGATTGAGACATGATTTAAAAAAAAGAGAACTATGGATTTTCAGGAAGGCAGAGACATGCGTATAATCAGCAGCTGGAGGAATGGTTATGGCATCCCTCTTGTTCGCGTCAAATCTGCATTCATTCGCCTTGTTATAGTAACTGCAAAGTGTACGGAAAATGTGTGCAGAAACAAAACAGCTGACCCACTTTCTTTGCTGAAATTGGGAAAACCACTGTGAGATTTTGTGCGAAACATATAGACTCTGGATGAAATTAGCTTGCAACCCCATTGACCACAGGGATAGGAAATCTTCTGTTTTACCGTTTAATCTTTTTTATGGCTTGCAGACACGGAGAACACGATTCTATCATTGTTGCCTTCATAGACGGCCAGAGGAAATTCTTCCACACACACAGAGTAGCTGTGGGTTAAAAAACATCCTTTGTGTCAAGATGAGCAAGTTATTGTTGATAATGATAAATGCCACAGCCACAGAGAGTTCGAAGCACAGGGGAGTATAGCTGCAGGTGTGCTCAGGAGCTAATTTATTTGAATGACAGAAACTGACAGATCTGCAACTTTAAACAGTGCGACATGGCGATGGATGTGTTTTTGTTCCTTCAGTGATTTCTCCACTGAATTCCTGTAACTTGGATGTGCAATGGTACCTTTATGAGCTTTAGCCTTATTAGCTGTAGGCAGTGTTTCACTGCTGAATCTTCTCTTGGGCATTTCTTTAGAGCCTTAAAGTTCTCCTTTTTACTGTAAAGGTTTCTCACAGCAACTGAGTATATAAATGTCCAGTTTTTCCAACCCAGGCCTTATTAAGCCATTATTTCTTATAGTGCATAGCACAATGCCACTGAATCTAACCACTGCACTGCAGTTTGTCACTCGGTGCAAACACATTCCCATGAGGACTTGTTCGGGCCTTCGCTAACCAGAATATATCTTGATTCCATCAACAGAAGTCTCACAGTGTAGTGAGGTATGTCTGTATGTTCTGGTGATAATGAGAAGGTCACACACCAAACACACACCAAACAACATTTGGTGTGTGTTGAAAAGCAGTGAAACTATAGGTTAGCAGGTTTGTGATTTCAGTAAAAGGTTGATGGTCTCAGTGACGGAACTCTTTAAGATCAATGACAGGTTCCACAGCTGTTACGCATGACTCTATGCCTTTGATCTCGCTGCTTTCATAAATGCATGCATGAACAAGCATGTGCTCAAATGTAAAAGATTACATTCAAAGCCAGTTGCCCTGTGTGGGACAACAACTGTGCCACTCTGTGTATTGGACACTCTGCCAAAGGAAAATCCCTGCTGACGAGGAGCGATATTCAGAATCGGAGAAGGAAGGTGCAATATTTCAGACTTCTTCACTGCAGCTTCTCTGCTTATTCTGAGTCACTGATTACATAGATGGCTTTGGTCACAGTCGGACAGATTTGGAACTCCCACTGTTGAAATCAAACAACTCTGGTGCATACGAAGATAAAGCCTCCGTGGATAAAGGAAATATTTATGCTCAGAATGAGCCACATATGGCGTCTTTTTTATCACCGAGTATTCACCCAAGAAAACACACGCACACATATACCACCAAAATAAACTTTACGGACTCTAACTATTTACTTTGAAGAATTCAGCATAGTTCACACAATACATACTTTTGGTATCTGTTTTATTTTCCATGACAACAGCGGAATCAAATGTACGAACACATTCCAGCGCTGCACAGGGTTCAATGTCAGTGTGAAACCGGCTTGGGTTTGTGCACATGAGATGAGAAGAAAATGAAATATGTGAGACACTACTGTTGGACTTGAAGAGCAATCAGATATCATGTATTTGAGACTTTCCAGGCACTTCCGAGCACCGATCGTAGTATAATGTGTTGTGAATTACGAATCTGAGTTGCACTGGACCGTCAAGATCTGCAAAGTTATTACAAAGGCCATAATTGATACATTATGACATAGAGTAGAGATAAAGCCAACACAGCAGTAAAATATTATAAAGTATTGCAACATCACCGCAGCGTTTACAGAGGCAATCTGGGAAACTATGTATCCAAATAGTTTTATGTAATTATGAGAAGAGTCTTGAAATCATGTAGTTTAGGTAGGATTTACAGAAGACGTGTGTACTACACCCCCTTTCCTCTCTCCGTCACTGCTCCTTTCTAGCTGTCTCAATAGAAAAAAGGAGCACACTCCACCAAACCCTCTCCTGCATTCATCCCTCTTTATTTTCTCAGCACACATGCACACACAGGCTTTGGTCTCCTGCGGAGGATCATTTCAATGGAGTGCTGCTAAATAGAACAAAAATAATTGAAGTATAACAGTCTTACTAACTGAGAGGCACATTAGGAGGAAGTTCCCTCATTGCCTTGAAAATGTGTAATGCAACTCATTTAACACCTATGAATCCTAAGGGGGTTTACTTATTGCTTCAGGGGTTCTGTGTGTGAAGCAGCTGCGCTGCCTTTTCAGTAAAACGTTTATTCCTCTTTTGAGGAGAGTCTGCCGCTAGAGTTATATATTCACAGATATTTTGTAGTGGGATATTCAGTCATAAATATGGAAATAGAGAACTTAAACGGGACTGCCTCAGCCTTTCATGCACTCACTGCTGCAAATCCAGGTTTTGGTGGAGGGTTATAGTAAACTCTTTTATTTCTCTTCCTTCAGTTTGAGCATTTTACATACTAGAAAGTGACAACTAGTAGAATGGCAAGTGAGGATACATCCAACATCTGTACTGTTCACAATCACAGCACATTTCTATGTATATGAACTGTTGATCTTTCAGAAAATAGTTTTGTGAAGTTTGATTGTAAGAATAAATAATAAGTGTCTCTTTTGAGACCCTGCAATTATTTTCAAGGTTGCATAGAGCATTTTCAATCAGTGCTCAAGTCTCTAAGATTAGACCGAAATATGCAACTTCTCCTTTCTGTCACACATTGAAACTTTTGTCTGTGCAAGATAAAATGAAGTGCTGATAACTATTGTCACTGTCTCTCCCAACAGCAACAGGAGCAGGACCCCACCAACCTCTACATCTCAAACCTGCCACTCTCCATGGATGAGCAGGAGCTGGAGAACATGCTGAAGCCCTTCGGTCATGTCATCTCCACACGGATACTGAGGGATGCCAACGGCCTGAGCAGAGGAGTCGGCTTTGCTAGGTATGCACAGAGAGAGACGCGCATGCACACAAACTGTCACTACCGCTTATGTCTCTCCGAAAATATTTTGTGCACCAAAAAGTTAGCAGTTCAGTCTAATAAACTTCTTTCAGGAACTCACGACCCATGGGGCACTAAGTGGTTAGACTATTTTCTTTGCGTTTGTTCTAATCTTGTTCTCTCGTCATACAACACTCATCTTACATTGCTGACTCACTTTAGTGTGCCTTCATACATTAATTGTGCAAATCTCCCAATTTGAAACATCTGAGTTCATGATAGCCAACTCTGTTTACAGTTCTTTTAGGTCTCTGCCATATAAACTGGATGATGATTGTTCTGCCTGCAACCTTTCTGTCTGTGTGTTTATTTTATCATTAACTCATTTATTTTCTGTTTAGCAGTTTAGTTATGTCGTTAGTCCAATAAATATTTCATATATGAAGAACTTGATCATTTGATTTGTGTGTATATGAATTAATCGGTCCCTCACACCATAAGAAGAACTCCGACGCAACCCTGAGATTGAGATTTAATTGATTAATATAAAAAAGTTTTTATCTCCAAAATTGTGTGGCGTCCTAAATTTAATCTAAAGTTAAATGATCTTACTTATATTAATTATGTCTTATCGCGGAAGCTGAGCACTATCATTCTTTTTATACTAATAAATGGGATTATGATTCATAATTGAGTTATCAATAACCGTTACATATTTTTTATATCAATTCATTATTATGTATTAAAACTGCGACAGGCAATAGCACTACATCAGTGTGTCAGGAACTGATTTTACATTTCCCACTGTCAACTACTTTCTGTTGCTGCTGAAAAAAATAATCTTAAATGCCAATTGTTAGTCACATCCAGATGTATTTAAATGTTTTCTGTTGCTCGGTGAACTATAATTACTTATCAGGCACAACATAATACGCATTCATAGTTATCACTCTATCTCACATTTCTTTTTTCAGTGTACATTACCCTGAGTTGACTGCCTGACATTTACAACCAAAGGAAATCTTGCTGTAATCATACAACTGCACATTCCTGTACCATTGACTCCTTCACCCTCCTTTGTGTGTGTGTGCGCATGTGTGTGTGTGTGTGTGGTCTTCTCAGTTACACCGTGGAGCGTGCCAGTGATTAAAATGCAGTCCATTCAGGGTCACCGGCTATGTGTAGAAAACCCAAGACACACGGAGACATGCACGCTCACATACCACAAACACACACACAGTCTCTCCCACACCACCATTTTTCTCCCCCACACACACACACACACACACACTGTTTTTTTCTTGCCAAGCAGGCAATTAGTCATTGAGCTGTGATTGGGTGAGCAGAGCTGAATGGGGGCAGACAAAGAGGACATGACACACGACAGATCCGACTGAATGGAGCTTTTAAACCCGGACAAAGGAGAGGAAACCCCATAGAAAACACACGGACACACAAACGCACACACACGCATAGGCCCACCTCAGGCATTTTGCTCAGGCATGCAGAGACAAACGAGCACAACAGGCAGGCATTTCATGTACTCGCCGTATTGTGGGACAAATCTGCATGCACACATATCCACATTCAAGAACCACACTATCCTTCATGTTGAACAGTGACAAAAGGAGCTGATTGTCCTCAAATAGCACTTCTGTCTTTCTCTCTCTGTCAGGATGGAGTCGACAGAGAAGTGTGATGTGGTGATTCAAAATTTCAACGGGAAATTCTTGAAAACCCCTCCAGGCATGACAGGTGGGTGTCGATCACCAACACAATTGCGTTGCACTGGCGTAGCTTGTGTTTTTCTATAGTGAGAGCAAGGCGTTTTTTTGTAGGTCAGGGTGCACATAAAGATGCAGCACTATGTGGCATCACAGACTCAATCTTCCTACAAAGCACCAAGTTTGCTGCACTAGAAGACTATTTAAACAGGTTATTTTAAAACGGTTTGCCGACAAGCTTTTAAGGCACCTCTAATAAGTTCAAAGGTTTAGTTTGTGTTGATAAAAATGTATTGGAGGTCATACTTTTGGTTCTTACATGTCTTGTCATGTTTCACCTGTGCACATCATTGTGTTGATATGTGCGCATCATGACAAGGAGGAGAGCTTGCATGAATGGGTCTGAGTATTGTTTGAAAATCTTTAATACTGGTACAAAAACAGTACCGCTACAAACACTATACTTATCTTCAATACCTTAGTTTGAGGAATATAAAAACAATTTTCTGTTATTTGATTTAATACACCCATAACTGTCACAACTATCATATTTTTATGAATGAATCACATAACCAGCTATAGTCACATATTTGTCTTTTGGTGTAACATGTACAAGCCCGTGTCCGTGCGAGTGATAATATATCAGCATCATCTATGCTGCTCTCTTTCTCTCTGTCCCACTCCTTAGACCACCTTGAGCTGATTTAGTAAGAAGATCTCAGTGATTAATTGAGTATTGACTGTGCAAAACACAGATTGAGACGCACACATGCACAAGGGGAAGAGAGAAGTGGGAGGATGGTGTGTAGGGAGAGAGAGAGAGTAAGAGAAAGGAAGAAAGAAAATATGGGAGAAGAAGAGAAGATGCAATTGAGGATGACATTGGGTTTGAAAAAACAAGGGGTGTGTGGGTGTGAGAGAAAATGACATATACAGAGAGAGAGCCATGTGGGGTGACTAAACATGAGGGAAGTAACAGAGCAAGGACAAGGTGGGGGGGAAAGAGAAAGCTAAGGTGGAGAGAAGCAAACTGAGAGTGACACAGAAAGAGAGAGAAGAGATGGATACAGAACTATCAAATATAGATAGAGAGATGGGAGCTGCACCACACTGAAGAAAATGGAAATGAAGGACAGACAGAGAGAGCCGCGCTCCATGCCCTGGCAGTATGATTTGTCAGGTGGGCGACTCGGTTTCTCAAACGAACACACACACACACACGCGCGCGCGCACTGCCATACCTCTCTATATACTGTGAGGTATAGCTGTGTCATTTTGTAGCAAGTGAATGATGTATCCTTCCATCCTGATTTCTGCAGCCTGTGTGGGTGTCAGTGTGTGTGAACAACACAGCCTCTTAACTGCTGCTGCAAGCAAAGACCCTGCATGGCTATCAGCAAAACAGTCCTGAGCTTCATGGTTGTGCAAATGTGCAAGTCAACAAGCTTGATTTTGTGACGAATCTTAAAAGAAAACTGTTGTGGGGCTGATTATTTATTATCAAATAACTTATTGTTACAAAAGTATTCATTTGATCAAAATCTATTAAGAGAAATAGGTTATGTTAACAATTTGTAATATAATTATCACGTATACTGTGACAAAGCACAACATACATTTTAAAAGCTACTGGTAACTGGTGTGTAGCCTACTGCTGTACGCCTAAATAACTCTCTAATCAATATTGTCATATTAATAGTGTATCAAGTGACTATGTTTTGTGTGAGAGAGGTCACTCATAGTGACGAACCCACAGTGAATTATCACCAAAACGTTTTTAGCATCTTTCTGCTCATTGTTTCAGCTCCTATCTTGGGGTCTATACAGCAAACAGCAGACACACAGCGTGTTTGGTAACACGTTCATCATCATGATTTATTTTCATCTTCTTGTCCAACCCCCAAGTGGCCAAATAAAATCAATACAGTAGTTTTAAAATTGAAGTTGCACACACAAACATAGTCATTCTTTCTATACCCACCAAGTAGCTGACCTCTATATTGAAAGAGATGCATTGCTTGTCTTTGCCAGGGGTGTCCATTTTCTCCTTTGTGTCTGTGTGCGTGGGAGTGGGAGTCAGTGTGTTAACGTATGTTGACCGGTTCAATCGCCCTGAGCATACAAACCGGGGAATTTAGGAGACTCTGGCCAACCAGATTCAGACCAGACCGTCTGTATACTGATCCACAAAACACACACAAATACACACTGATCAAATACACACATAGGGAAACCGTGTCTCTAAAGCCATGTGCCGTTGATTTATGTCACTGGTTTTCTGTGTTACTGAGAGCCTGTGGCCGTTACAGTGACATTACCTTTGGGCTTAGTCCTTACACTTGTCTTAAAAAAAAGCACACCACAGAATCACTGTTATCAAACCTGCTACTCTGATACAGTGTGATGTGTTCATGTGCAGTAGGTGTGCGTATCATTGAGTGAAGTGTGCCTGTTTGTTCCTCTGATTGATACAACAGTCTGTCCATCCCAGCTGATGTATTGACAGGCAGCAGTGATATTTTACTCTCTAGCCGTGAGATTAATGCCGACGTTGATCACATGACCAGAGCTTCCATCAGCCCCTCGTTAGTCCATCAATCCGCAGCTTTCTGCCTTCTACCTGCCATAGATATAGAGTGTCTAGATTGGGCATAGACTAGAATTAGAACTCTGCTCCTTGCCTTTGATTGATACAGAAATAAGTGCTGGAATTTAGTCAAGCTTTATACAGATGTCTTTATACAGATGTATATCTGTCTTCATTGTTAGGTTACATATGAAGATGTAGAATAGGTTCATATTGTTTAACAAGACTTTAAGTGGCTCCACAGCTTTTGTTCTCCATAAATAAAACGTGTTGGAAACATTTTCATTGCTCACAATGCCTCATCACTTTTAGTGATTAGAGTACTCCTGCAAATTCGACATTCCAATCTGATGTGTAAATCGGGTAATAAGAGCAAGTGTATTTCTATCGTTGTCCATCTGTCGTCTCTGTTATCGTCATTCGATAATGTTGTGCCTCCATGCTGTGAGGCAGAGAGTCAGCGTGGTAAAGCCCTCCCTCTCCAGCCATAAAGAGACTCAGACCTTCTACAGCTTCACCATGACCATGTCCCTTCCTCTACAAGCTTAATTTGATCAATCTTTTCTTGTTCTGGATGACAGATTCAAGCAGTCAGCACCTAATAAGGAAATCAGACCGCAAAGGTGCGCCCAAAGACAAAAACATGAAGCGATGATTCTTTTGAGTTCATGGACCTGGGTGGGAGGAAAATATCACCAGGCTTCATTTCTATTTCTCTACTTACTGAGTTAAAATCTACTCTAACAGGATTAATATCTTACATGCCTGGTCAAGAATGATCAAGTTTATATTATTATTATTATCATTAATATTGATACATCATCATTATTTGCTCGAAACTTGATCTGAGAATCAAATCTGTATAAGATTACTGGAATATTCCATTTTAAGGAATACATCTTCCTTGTTTTTTATTTTCCTTTTTTCCATACAAAAGTAACAATAATGAATATCTCCTGATTTGATACTCATGCTGGCCAGTAAAACAAATACAATTTGTAGTTTAATCTTTAAATTCATGGATAAAATCCGGAGCTGTGTTCACTTTTTTGTATCACAAAAACAGCAAATAGAGATATTTTGGTCAGATATTGCTTTACAAAAGTGCATATAAATAATTAGTAAGTAGATGCGGGATTCAGGAAAAGAAAGAGGTAAATGTACCTCTCTACGGTCCTCATCTAATCTCTTTTATCTTGGTTTCTAATCATTCTGTCTCTCTTTCTCTCCCACGATCTGATATAGTGTTGTAGTTGTAATAGTTCTCCTTGTCTTGCCCTTTCCTAATGGTAAGACAAACGGACGACAAGAATGGAAAGAGTCCAGATCTCAGAGAAGGCCCATTATCCTTCAGTAGGTTTGATAATAAATGTTTCTGGTATGATCATGTGGCATTAAGCCCCCAATCATTGCAGAAGTGGTTCAATACTTTCATAAATGGGAAATTAATTGAATTTGATGTTCCTGATAATGGAAGAAAAAATGATTGAAATGATTATGAAATGATGTGGCAGTCCTGTACAGTCAGACTGAGTCAGCTTACATTGTGTTACGTTATTTGGAGCCACTTCTTCATGACACAAACATAGTTGTAGGTGTTAACATGTGATGCTGTTGAAGCATTGACTAAGTCACATCAATGCTGTCAAGTTCTGCAAGTTGCAAAGACATTTGGTGCTATCTTAACATCATTTTGGTGATTCAATTCTATGTATATGTCAGCGCATCGATACATTTTATTCCTACTTGTCTCACAGCCAACTGTTTTTGGGTTGCTTTGCGTGTATGAAGAGAAAATGTAGTAAATGCAGTGAACGTCCTCTCCCTTCTAAATCTGAGTTCTCTGTCCCAGCTTACAGACCTTTTTTTTGTTTATTACAGTAGACACACGTCTTAAATTTTTTATGTCATAAAAATGCTGAGAGCAATATAGTTCAACATTTTCTAACACACATTTCTTGATTTTTGTGGCAAATAGTTGCTGTCCTCTCATGTGCGATGCTTGAACAAGTAACCCCCTAGAGTGCATGTTGTTCTGTCCCAAGGCTTTGAGCACTTTGATGCCGACATCACATTCAGCCCAGCTGAGGGATTCCTTTTTTTGTTACATTTGGGGATTGTATCCCATTTACCAACTGAATGGTTTCCCATGTTGCTCGATAATGGATTGGATTGCATTTTAAATGAGAATTTTCCCATTTGAAGGATTGGGACCCACTTAGATGATATTCTCCCTCTTCCAACAGTAAAAACTGAGACCGTCATGCCGTTATAAGCTAAGGCTTTTTACTCTTAAATATAGATCAGCGCCTTGCTTAGGAACACCAAAGCTAAGATCTAAAGTATCTCCGGCACTTAACCAGGTACACCTGTGTGTTTCATCCTACCCCATGTTTTTCTTTCCAACCTATTTCTTTTCCTGTGTCCTTCTCGCCAGAACACAG